CTGGCCAAATAAAGAAGCTATTGCAACCCTTCACCTGAGTACCTCATAAATCTGAATCAATGCCATTATTAACTGTGTTGAAATCTTTTAGCACCTACACTATCACAACAGCTCTTACTAGTCTTTTACTCATGTAAACTACTGCCAAGCAAGATTCTCAGCAACCTTTTCAATTTCTTTTAAAAACTTGCTATGCAATTTTATGTTACTGTCTGTTCCTACTCATTTCATTTATTTCTATTGAAGTTTTTAGCTTTCCTTTTTTAAAAAAAGGAATTTATTTATTTTTAGAAAGAAGGGGAGGAAGAGAGAAAGAGAGGGAGAGAAACATCAATCTGTGTTTGCCTCTTATGCACCCCCAACTGGGGATCTGGCTTGCAACCTAAGGCATGTACCCTAGACGGGAATCAAACCCTGCAACTCTCTGGCACTCAATTCACTTTAGCCACACCAGCTGGGTTAGCTTTCAAATATATTTCTAAACCCAATATATCTGTCATCCTTCTCGTCTCGAATTAGTTCTTTATGTTAAGCATGTTATTGTCCCTCCAGCTACATCACTAAGTAAATATATGTTCAATAAATAGAATGAGGCTAATGAAAGTATTCTTCTTTTTGTAATTCTGTTATGCTTCTATGTACTTCTTCAAAACCAGTTTCTCCCTGATGCATTTCCCCCCGATTTCTATGGCATATGTAAGACTGATCAGTTGTTTGCCAGGACTGCAAGACTTCTAGAGTTCAAAGGGACTTTCCAGGGCCACAGTCTTGCCCAATTCTCTCATTTACAAACAAGGAATCATTGGTAAAGTTTAGTCACATACCCTTGACCACATGACAGTGGTGTATCTGGAAGCAGACTAAGGAATTCTAAATACAAATATATGATGTTGTTTCTATTACAGGTTTTCATTTAATTTTTTATACTATCTGTTCATTTTTATCTACATGAAATTAAGAGAAATTTTTTAAATCTAAAATATATGTACACTTTTTGTTGTCAAGGGTATTTTTGCTACCACACAAGAAACATGCAATATTTCCTCAACTTTATCAGTCCATGCAGAGAATAAGTGGGTGAATAGCCTGTCTCTACTCTGACAAGCTGAAAAGCAATATAAATATAAATTTGACTTGCTGAAGGTAGTGAGGAGAGGAATATTTTGGTTGCAAATCTCAAATTTTGACCCTGAGCCCACAAATTTTTTTAGGATTAACTATCAACTTTCTAAGACTCAATAGAGAGAATGATAATTTTATTATTATATTGATGGTATATATTTAATTACTATGTAAACAATATATTCTTTTTATACTCTTTCTGGCTAATTTATAGTCAACACCACTTATGACCAAACTGAGATATGAAATCCTCTGTATTTATTCATAAATAACCACCACCATCACCCTCCCCATCAGAATGTAATTCTGTGACTGCTAGTTTTTCATTCTATGATTTCTGCCTGGCTTGAAGTAGGCTCTCAATAAAAGTTTGTTGGTAAACAAATAAATAAGTTAATGAATAAAGTCTTTAAAAGGATCACTAACCAAGGAAGCAGATCAAAAAATTTTTATAACAGCCCAAAACATAAACAAAAGGCATATGTTCCAGAAGGATTCACTTGGATACTCAAGTTAATTAAATAAAGAGTCTTAATATTACAATTACAACATTCTTTTTCAACAAAGTGCTTGCTCCTTTCCCTGAAATTTCAACAGGTTACTCTTTGTCTCTTTAGACTCTTTATACATGAGAGACATCTACAACAATTCCTGTTCATTTTTCTAGAAAGATCAAGCAAATGTCCTAACACTAAAATCAACTTCACTGTTGTAAGATCATAAAAAGGCCATCGACAGAGAGAAAAGATCAGGCTCTTGTTTTAGTTTTGTGTGTATTAGTTTTACTTTATGACCTGAACTCAAAAAATGAGCCAAAGAATTTACTATTTTTTCAATGTTTACATTTTCTTTGCATGCAGTTGCTCTCAGAACTCATTTCAAACTATCAAATTTCACATTTACCAAAACAGCAATTTCTAGAAATCCTACCTTGATTAAATCAAAATATTTCCTTTACTAATGCTTTTATTAAATGTTACTGTCTACACTGTTCCTCTAAAATCTAAATAAAAACTACTAAAACAATACCACGATTAATTCAAATGTTTAGGATCATGTTAAAATCTTGTTGAGAATAAAGGAACTTGCTCACCCAATCCTTTTTCCTTGTGTTTTTAACATCTTTACAATATATTTAATTCACTTTAAATGTCTAAGTTCAAAGTTACTGAATTAGAACTAACTGCATCAAATTGAAATCAATTTATATTCTTTTTCTATTTGTTAAACAGTGATATTAAAACATTTTAAACTATTTTACTATTCAAGTCAAAACTACTAATATTTGATGTATCACCAATCATTTATTTAGTTAATGTTCTATAAACAACATACAGCACCAGACCACATAAACCCCAGCAGGTTCTCTTCCTACAGCTTTCCTTTAAATTACAAAAGTGAAAATGTTAATTTGAAAATTACAAGAAAACTATGGATTTAATAAACAAATTAACTTACTGAAAAAATCTTTAAAGACGTTTAACCAATCCATTTTGAATATTTTCTTTTGTCAGTTTGTTATAGTCCAGGATAATTCTCAGTGAGCTTCCTGGTATGTTCTGCAACACTGAAACTCCCCACACCCTATCCATGTGACTTGGCCCACAACCAGGCAACAGGAAGATTTTCTGAGGCTCCTCTCTTTCCAAAATCCCCCCTCCCCCACCCCAACTGTAACAGAACCTGTAAAACAAGTATATCATGATGCCCACAAAGGTGACCTTATTATTCACTTTTATTTTAGAAGAAGCTTTACGTCATGTATTTTCAACAACTGAAAATATATTCACATATTCATTTTTCCTTTGTTTTCTTTTCTTAACTTTCAAACAATGTCACTCCATCAGCACAATCATTGTAAAACAAATCCATTAATTACATGGGACATTTAAGTTACCAAAAAGGAGTTCAGAAATTCTGACGAGAGAAGGCTGCATGATGCAAAAGCTGGATTTACGTCACTATACAGGCTAACTACAGATCACTAACTTAAAACAAAGAATAAAGAGTGTATTTAACTGGGCTTTAAAATTTGTATGCAGTAATGCCTAAACCTGGGATATTTTTCCTCTTTGCTCCATGGTATTAGTTTTTTTCACTACCTTTTGTTAATTACTTTCACATATGCTCTATTTCCAGGATACCAGCATTCTTTTAAAAAAGAACAAAAATGTCTGTTTAGATGTGGTCCTAGTCCTTTCTGTGCCTTCATCACTATAAGGCATACTTTCTTCACAGAAGTTTCCTTAATTATCCCCAATGCCTCTAATCCACATGCTTTAAATAAATGTCCAGTATTACAAATTAATGAGTATTCCTAGTTCTAACTCTGGTAATTTTTAGCTATTCAAGGAAAAGCTTTCTAAATCATCTTCCATTTTAAAACTAATAATAATGGTCTTATTTGCAAAACCTTAAAATCTCAAAAAAAGGTAACCTCACATACAGCAATTAAATGTCAAAATAAAAATTCAGCCCTGGCTGGTGTAGCTCAGTGGACTGAGCGCAGGCCTGCGAACCATACAATCGTGGTTCGATTCCCAGTCAGGGCACATACTGGGTTGCAGGCCAGTTCCCAGAAAGGGACATACGAAAGGCAACTATACATTGATGTTTCTCTCCCTCTCTCCTTCCCTTCCCCTCTAAAAATAAATAAATAAAATCTAAAATAATAATAATAAAAAATTCAGATGAATTTTTTCTAGAGCTAGAAATCATGGAGCTAGATGAATAACTCCATGTATTAAATTACATTTAGAATATGAGGAATGTTTTTAGCTCAGAAATCAAGATTCTAATACTTTATCTTATTTTGAATTGTACAGCAAGAATATAAATTCTTGCTGTTTTACAGTGGTAAAAAATATTTGTCTTCTATTGCTGATGAATGAAAGAACACTCTAGTCTAGAATACAATAGTGTTAAATAAGAAATAAAAACGAAAATAAAGCAGTTAATTAATAATATTTTATATTTGTCAGTCATACTACACTACTCCCAAGCTATCTTCACAGGGAGAAATTTTACTTTCTCTTCCATTTATATACAAATAACCATTAAGTAATAGAATGTTTGCATGCTTGTCTAAATACAAAAAAATAAAAATAAAAATGAAATTCTGTCCCTCCCAATTCCTTCCTGTAAGCCAGGAGAGTTTAATTAAAAAAAAAAAAAAAAAAAAAGGCCACTTATCATCTGGGCATATTTCCTTCCTATCAGCTCAGCCAAGTCAAGTGTGGAGCAGATTCCACTATTTCTGGCCCTAATGAGTGTCATAAAAACAAACAAATTTTACAGTTAGAGTAACAACAAATGAGGAAAAAAGAAAACCAAAATAGAAGAGAGATCAGCCTTATAAATGCTATAGTAGTGATCCACAATTTAAAATTCTTTTGTCAACTTTAAGAAAAAAATGATTTGTTTTTAAAAGTGAAGTTCAAAATGTAAGCCATTAGATGTTAAAATATGGCAATGTGCTGAGCAAAATAAGCTGCCTTAATTTCAAGGAGGCAATTCTTCATCTTACTCATTTATCCCTCTCAATTAGATGCAGAATTTGTCTAAACTCCACCAGGCACTCATAGCCCCTGATAAATCAGTCCAATTCTGTTCCTTAGCACCACAACAGCTTGAACTTTGAATTCTGACCAGTCCCACCAGAGCTAGATTTACAGAAACTGTCCACTAGCACGATGTTCCCTGGTCTCCTGACATGAACACGTGCTATGAGCCAAACTTACCTCGTCTGGCTGAAGTTCTAGTCCTGGCCTTTTCTTGTCAATTCTTCCCACTGTTGCTAAAATTCTGTACAAAGAACCAAGCTCTAATATATGCTCAAAAGAAAGTATTGTTGCTGTTTTAATACAAAAGTAACTTACCTAAGGTATCCTTTAGGTTTTTTACAATAGATGCTTTCCGAGCACTGTTTTTCCTTTCCACATAGTTAGAAGGCACAAACCCCGTTTTATTCATGGAATTTCTAACTCGCCACCAAGACTTAGAATCATCCAGAAGCCATAATCTCTCATTCTTCTTAATGTCCAGCTCTTGTTCTTGTTGGGCCACATAATCAAATTTGGCTACTACCACCACTTCTTCTGCCATCTTTCAGTAGCTTCAGCACTGTAACGACATAGAAACTATTTTTATAAGGTTTTAGTCTATACACTTTTCAAAAGAGATACATCTAAAAAACCTAAAAGTACAGAATAGTTAAAAGTAAAAATATGGAGAAAAATATACCAGGCAAATACTAATCAAAACACAACTGGTGTAGCTATAATAATAACACACACACAAAAGACTTTAAGGCAAAACCATCGCTAATGATAAGTTTACCATAAATGAAAAAAGTTTTATTCAATGTCTATAACAACTAATTTTGTATGTATCTATTGACATAGCTAAAAATAGAATGCTAGAAGAACCACAAAGAAAAAGGGACATCGACTGCCCCAGAGGGACAAATTTTAACATATTTATCTCAGTAATAAATCAAGGAGACAATAAAAATTAACAAAGCTAGAAAAGAATTACATTATGAACCATCTCTTTGATCAATAAACATATAAAAATTTTATTTCCCAACAGAATACAAATGGACATATATAAAAATCTATCAAATGTTAGGCCATAAAAAAAGTCTCAACAACTTTCATACTCTGACATTACACAACCACATTCTCTGACAACCTCACCAAAAAGATAGCTCTTTAAAAACCTCCTATGTTTGGCCCTGGCTGGTGTGGCTCAGTGAATTGAACACCAAACTACGAAGTTTAGAGTCACCAGTTCCATTCCCAGTCAGGGCACATGCCTGGGTTGCAGGCCCCATGTGTGGTGGGGCGGCGCACATGAGTGACAACCACACACTGATGTTTCTCTCTCTCCCTTACCTTCTCTCTAAAAATAAATAAAATCTTTTAAACAAAAAACAACCTCGCATGTTTTGGAAATTTCAAAACACTCATGAGTAAAACAATAAGTAACAGACTTTTGAAAATCTTAAAAGTAAAATAATAGAGACTATAGAGCCAACCTGTGGGATGCAGCAAAATAAGTGTACAGGGTGGGGCAAAAGTAGGATTACAGTTGTGAGTACATTCCTGTACATACACATTATGTATACTGTCTGGACCTCGCTTTCTCAGTTTAACAGTGTATGATGAAGATCATTCCACAGCAGTGTCTGAGGGTTCTTTTCTAATACAACTACTATTTCTAACTACTGCACAGTACTTCATCAATAGAGAAGTATCAGTTTCCTCAAGCAGACCTTACAGATGGATGATGGGTTGTTTTCAATCTTAATACCATTGTTTATGGTACTACACAATGCCGCAATTAATACATTTAAACTTTCTTTTACTGTACCTTTGCATTAAAGTTAGAAGAACACTGAGTTGAAGCTTAAGGTTTATATAATGTTGTGAAATATTGCTAAATCCCCATCCAGAGGCTCTTTATCCCTTTCTACTCTCAATATGAGTGATTATTTCCTCATGGTCTTGCCAACAAACTATGTTGTTGATCTTTTAGATTTTTGCCAACTGGATAGTTAAAAAATGGTATTCTGAAGCAGTTTTTCTTTGTATGTCTCTATTACAATGAGATTGAGCATCGTTTCCCAAACTTACGGGACATTTGCATTTGTTTTCATGTGTGGACCACTTGTTCATTTTCATAAAATATGGCTTTTCTTTTTCACTTTTTACAAGCTCTTTCTATAGTAAGAATACTTTGCCCTTTGATATAAATTACAAAATTTTCCAGTTTGTCATTTGTCTTTTAACTTGGCTATTATATTTTTTAGGTACAAAAATTTTGAAGAACTTGACGGTACAGTTGTCAAAATTTCAAATGCACATTTCTTGCAACCAACAATCTACATACTAGAGGAAAAATGATGCAAATACCCAACATCGCATGTAAAAAAAGGTTTGCTGCAGTACTACTAATAATTGTGAAAAATCAGGAATGACATATATACCAAGAGTGTCTAAATTTTAAGTACTAGTATGGTAAAATGTCTAAGATATATTAAGCAAAAATGCAAATTTCAAAAAAAAAAAGTGCTGCCCTGGCTGGTGTAGCTCAGTGGATTGAGCGTGGGCTGTGAACCAAAGGGTCATGGTTTGATTCCCAGTCAGGGCATATGCCTGGGTTGCGCACCATGTCCCCACTGGGGGCCATGTGAGAGGCAACCACACTTTGATGTTTCTCTACCTCTCTTTCTCCTTCCCTTCCCCTATCTCTAAAAAATAAAATAATAAAGAAATAAAATATATTTAAAAAATGTGCTAAGTATGCTTTTATTTTAGAAAAAAGCCTATTACATATATGCATTAAAAAACTCTAGGATATACAATAAACTGTAAACGCAATGGTAGCCTCAGTGAGTAATAAGACTGATAAAAAACTTTCAGTCCCTATTCTACATATATGCATGGTTTGAGTATTTTACGACAGGTATGTATTACTTAATTTTTTTAAATGTACTATAAGAAAACCAACTGAAAGCTAGCCAATGGAACTTGCAACTGAACACAAAGTATGAAACATGGTGAGGAAATATGCAGAAGGTATGAGGGAAAAATAAATGTGAGAAAAGCAAGCAGGTGTAAAACTAATCTGCTTCACAGGAAGAATCACGATTAGAACCTAAACAATTAGAACATAAAAAACAAATAAAGCACTTACACTTTAACTCTGATGACCATTTTTTCAGCTAAGTACCAGATAAAGGAGTTAATTTGAACTTATAGAGTTCAAATAGTAGGGAAAACCACGTATCTTTAAACCAAAATAAAAAGTGAAATGGCATGCTTAAACTACAAGAAGGACAGCAACTGAGGTCAACTGAGAAAACAAAGAATGGTTCCCATCTCATGCCGACTCTGGAGCAGATGCTTACATTAGAATGATGGGTGGAAACATTTGCATTGTATTAACAGACATTTTCCCCTGGCTTTCTTTGAGCCACACTTAATTCAAATTATATAAATTAAATGTGAAGTGATTTCACTGTACTTTGGTGCAGCCATGATTGTAAAGGTTGTCAATTAATATTCTATATTCTTCTACAAAAGCTCGAGTTCCACATTCCCAACTCCACTCATGACATTTGTGCTTGGATACTCCTGGCTCCTATGCCTGCTTTCAGGAACTGGATTCCTGTCCTTTTGTTTTTGGGTCCTTGTACCTGGCAACAGAACCCAGGACCCTTATCAACCAGTGTCCAATTCCTGCTTGACATCAGAGTTGGATTTCCTTTACAGAATCTGAACTATTTTGTTCCTCACTGACCACTGCCCAGCTCTGATTATACAAAAATCGTGGACCTCAAATTTGACATTAATCCCAGTTTACAGTACTCACGATCTGCTTGCCTTTTCTTCCTGGGACTATTTCTTGATCTCTGTTTTTCTAATTTACCTCCAACCTCATTCCCAAAATGAACCCATATACACTCATTGATCATATGCTTGGCCGTTCCTCATCTGGTCATCATAACAACAGGACCAAACTGGAATTAAACAACTCGATTATTTCACTGTCACTAAGGACAATATGGTGTTTACTATTCTAGAGATCTTCATAAATTGTGCTACTCTATTATTTATTAGAAAGGAATCAGAAGACTGAGTTGGAGAACACCTACTTGTTTAAGAGCAGAGGTTTTTACACCCTCGAAAAGGCTAGGAGTTGCTAAAGATATGAAACTTCACACCAAAGAAATGTTTACTAAATGCCCATAACTCAGGTATTATCCTAGCATTTCCCTCTCAATAATCCTTTGAACTTTAAAAAGTATTATCCTCACTTTGCCAAGTATCACACAGATACTAAGAAGTTTTACCAACCCTGAAAAATAAGTGGTAGAAACTGGGAGTTCAAATGGAAGTCAAATGCGTGTTCTTTGTATTTCCCCAGAACTCATGTATTTGTGATTACTACCCTGTCTTTTAAAAAGAGAACAGAAAAAGTGTATATGTAATAAATGAATGTAAACCAATTACCTACTAAATGAGCAATTCTCAAACTATTTGGTCTCAAGACCCCTTGAAGACCCCAAACGTTTTTGCTTATGTCAGTTATATCTATTAATATTTACATTAGAAATTAAAAATGAGAAATGTCAGGATATTTTAAAATTCAAATAAATATGACCATATTTAATCTAATACATTTAAAATATTTTTATAAAAATTATACTTTCCGAATCAAAAACATTAGTTAAAAAGGTGGTTTTATTTTACACCTTTGCAAATCTTTTAAATGTCTATCTTAACAGAAGACAGATGGATTTCCATATCTGTTTCTGCATTTAATGTGTTGCCAACATATTGTTTTAGCTAAAAAGAAAAAAGGAAGAGTATTTTAAGTCCTTTCAGATAACTGTGGATATTCTTTTTTGTTACTACACCAAAACTTGACAAATGATAGTTTCTTAAATAATACAGTTTCTAATGTGGAATCTAAAACTATACAAATGAACCTTTCCTATATTAAGATTCACTGGCCTAGTATTTTTTAAAATATATTATATATGTCATTACAGTTGTCCAATTTCCCCCCTTCATTCCCCTCCACCCTGCACACCCCCTCCTACCCACACTCCCCCGCTTTAGTTTATGTCTATGTCCATGGGTCATATATATAAATTCTTTGGCTTCTGTATTTCCCATAATATTCTTGCCCTCCCCCCTATCTTCTACCTATCGTCTATGCTACTTATTCTCTGTACCTTCTCCCCCCTTCTCCTTCTCCCACTCCCCTGTTGCTAACCCTCCTTGAGATCTTCATTTCTATGGTTCTGCTCCTGATCTAGCTGAACAGCTTAGTTTGCTTTTAAGTTTGGTTGTTAATAACTGTGAGTTTGCTGTCTTTTCACTGTTCATCTTTTTTATCTTCTTTTTCTTAGACAAGTCCCTTTAACATTTCATATGAGGGCTGGGTGATGATGAACTCCTTGAACTTGATCTTATCTGAGAAGCACTTTATCTGTCCTTCCATTCTAACTGAAAGCTTTGCTGGATAGAACAATCATGGATGTAAGTCCTTGCCTTTCATGACTTGGAATACTTCTTTCCAGCCCCTTCTTGCCTGTAAGGTCTCTTTTG